ACCACCGTTGCCTTCGTTGCATCACCAGAATACGTTGGCAACAGCGAATCACCACGAGGTTCGCCGAAGAATCTTCACCGCAGATACTCTCAGTCGTTCTCTGAGTGCCGTCATCTCACTCCAGAGACTTCGAGGGATAGGACATGTTTTGCGGATGCCGGCTTAACGATTGCCCCATTGTTTTATGTTTGTGCAAGCAGACACAAACTGGAAGCGGCCACACGGTGGACAGCGAATAACCTGGGCTCGAACAAGGAAGGCGCTAACCTCAAAACTGGCAGTGGTAGGGCGCTCTAGACTCCCAGGTTGGGGCCCAAGGACAGAGAACATCTATGGCTTGATACGCTTGCAGACATGGCTGGTAACCGACGTCAATGGCACACCTGTTGCGAGGCTCTTATTCGTTGATTTACATTTTAACCGTTTTCACATCTCTTTCTTCATACGTTGCAGTACATCTGCCAATTCTATGTAATTGACTGCGTGTTAAATATAAATAATAACAATAATATATATATATATACTGACAAAAGATTAGCAGATACGCATGCCTGACGAGCGGCAAGAATCGCGAAACCGGTCGTGTGCTTCCAGGGAAATTTTGTCCAATCATTCACATACCACTTACCATATATTATATATATATGTATGATGAACAACAGCCAGAGCGAACCCCATAGTAATGTAGACTTGCTATTCAGTGATAAAAAACGACAACCTAAACTCCGGGACTTGGAGTGGTGAACCACATAAGACCCCATTTGGATAGGCGTGGTGTTGAACCGGACGACGGTAAAGCTGCCTACCACCAAAGTTGGGTGGCGGTAGTGGGGCTCGAACCCTTGACCATAGGGTTCAAGCAGATCAGTAACATTTTGCAGGCAATAACCCCCGATCTTTCATTTACTCTACATAAGCTTAGCCTTCAAGTTGGCCTAAGATGTGCTACCTAAGTAAATCGGTACACAATTCGTCAAGGTGACGAAATAAAACAACGGTTGCTTTAAATCACATTTTCATTTTATCCATATTAGAACCCACACATCATACAACCTTCTATCTTCATTAAACTGATTATTTTTGATTTTCTATTTAATACAGGGACTACCAATAAAATTATTGTGAGAAGAGAGGGCTACAGGTGCTCGCTGTCCCTTTCCATTTTTGTATTGATCAGTCAAAATAGTTGAGGCTTTTCTTTTTCAGATAATGATCAAAATGATATGATATTCCTATAGGCTCAAGTTTTCCACTACGCTTCAATTGTATTGTATTCTGTATAACTTTTGCAAGCACTGAAGCTTACATTTCAGTTAAAACACCATACACACCAAACGTCACAAAATACGTATTCAACGGGGAGAAGAGGTTTACAGACATGGGGACATTTCATAACCCAAGGTTAAGACAAAGTGCACTTATTGCCCTCTCTTTGTTTGTGAGTAAACGTGCAAGACACAGTATAGGTGAATTTTGGCAAGCGTTTATACGAGCTGAAATTTGGCGAAATCAGGAGCGTGTGGACTGATGGGAGCAACAACATGTCATTTCTGAATACAATGGTCGGTCGAGATCTGTGAGAATCCTCTCCGTCAATTTCACACAGGAAGCTGTATAATGCTCTGAAAGCGTCACAGCTAACGCATTCACACGATAAGTAGAAATGCGGTTAGTTAGACCGCGGTGTAAGACTTTGAAATCCTGTTTGAGTAAGCCAGGAAAAATAACTGGGGGACAATAAAGATGGGGAAAACACATTGATGAACAAAGGTAGAAATAATTGACTGGGATGCGCGAAACTGCCTGAGCTTTTGAATTTGAAATCATAGGCGACGCAGTTTACCAACGCAGTTGTGGATATAGGTTAACCGATGAATATTCTTGTCTATAGTTACACCAAGATATTTGACAGAGTTCACCTTGGATAAAGGATTGTTATTAATTACTGTGGGGTCTGTCGGATATGAGAGCGAGCAAAACTATATAAGCATTCAACACATTTACTGGCGGTATAGTGTTAGTCTTGATAAGGAGGAGAATAACTGAATTTGATCAAGATTGTCTGTCAAGGAGCTGAGATAGGGGTAAAAAGAAATGGTTTGGCACAGCACAGCACAGCGTCATCTGCATATTTCCAAATATGTGCTTGAGAAACACAAGGAATATCCCAAAAATAAGTGGAAAATAAGTTTGAGGACAGCACAGCTCCTTGAAGAACTCCAGAGTTGTTGACTAAGGGTTTAGATGAAGTCTTCTCCAATCTAGTGGTTTGTACTCTATCAATAAAATAGTTCGTTAGCCAAGCTAACAATTGCTTGGGGCTATTGAACGATTCCAATTTTTGGTTTTTTGATCGAGGAATGGAATCAGGTGCTGAAGAGGATTCCAGAAAAACACCAAACAGACTTGACAGAATTGTTCAAAGACTTGGTGATAAACTGAATAAGAGTGGAGACTGCGTCCAAGGTGGATCTATTAGGCTTGTAAGCAAACTGTAACGATCATCTTCATCTTCCATCTTTTCATTCAAAGATGCGATTTTTGGGAAGGAAGAAGCGACCAATCAAAGGGCTGCCATACAACACACAGAAAATGGGTAAGGTCAGGCGGTAATGGTGGGATCTGAACACATCCTCGGGGTGATAATTTGATGACATTGCCACCGGGCCACCACCACCCTCTGGGAATGTTTATAGACTTCTGAAGGCGTTTGAAGATAGCCTTTTCAGTCAACTTAGGAGCTGAAGATGTTAAGGCTATGCAACGAAGAAGTTTGGAGAGTATGGAAGATTTAGATTCTTTGGGAATGGGTATGATTGTGACCGGGATAGTAGAAGTGTTAAGAGATTCATTTACAATAGAGGTGATTGTCTCTGGGGAAGCAACTTCAAATTTGAAGAGGATTAGAAGTAAATCATCCGGGCCTGCAACAGAAGACGAATTGCAACTATTTAAAAGTTTTAACGCATCACAATATGAGGATGGTTCCACATTACATACATTATGTGACGAGTAGGCAGTGAGAATGTCTGATGACTGGTGCAGGAATGCGGCATTGAGATCATCAACATCTATAACCAGCTTTGATCGTACTTCCTTCCTTCCACAGAGAAGTCTGGTACCTTGCCACAGAAGCTTGCCATTTCCTGTCTTTAGAATTCGATCAGAGAATAATGCGTTCAATCTATTTACTTCAGCTTTGATAAGTCTGGACAAATACCTGACAGCTGAAGCATTGTGAGACTTGTATGCACGTTCCTTTGGTCATCACAGTGATTTTAGTAAGGGAGAGGTTATCCTTCCGTTGGACACATATAGACTTTAAACGAGGCAGCAGTAATTATAGGTGGAATTGATTGTTTGGATCAATAGGGGGACACACGTGAATACAGAGGCAGATGATGAAAACCATAAGGAATTCTGCCTGAGAGATTCATTGAGAAGGGAAACACTTGCAGGTGAGAAGTTGCGAAAATGAAACCTGATGTGGTCAGATCGATAGAAAGATATTTATACACAGCGTGAATAAACTATAGGTCGACCTAAGAGTAAACAGTGGTCGCTGGCGGAAATAGGTTCTGTTAGTGCTGAGGAAAAAAGAGTTGGTTGGTTAGTTGGTTCTTACTCTGTCCATTATAGAATTACCTCGTGAGAGAGTGACTCCGAATCACGAGGCATTGCTGAGGCAGATGTGAAGGAGGATAGCGGCGAGATACAACATGAACCTACGTCCATGGTAATTTGGGAGCATTTCTAAAGCAGTTCAGGACGAATGACAATTTCGGAGCCCGGCACACCCATTCCCGACCATACTGAAGCATTTGAAGGCATCAGCGTTATCCAGCCACCAGTGGTGTACTATGCTCGTTGTTCCTGAATAAAGTCAATGGCGTGTCACTGCTGTAATAGGCATCCTGTTTTGCCTTCCCAGACGACGTGTCTGCAGCCAGTCGTTAAATCTTCAATCAAAAAGACATCCTCTAAGCTTGTCTAGAGAAGCTAGCTCTGTGAGCCACGATTTAGGAACTTCCCACTCACACCAACAAGCTTGCGCGTATGGAACTAGTGAATAAATGTATGGAAAGCAGGATGTAACTAAAGTACCCCGAGCAATAGTCAGCNCAGCCGGTACCACCCTAGTCAAGTACTTCTTCAACGAAGATAGAAATGCAGACTGATGAAGTGCACGCTGTCGAATGAAGCAGCCCAGTGCCATTCCCTGGTCATGTGGTGGATGGTCTGCAACGGTCTATTGGAAGGTTTACTTTTTCTCATGTTGATACAAAGTTCAAATGCAATGGGTCCAAGGTATGACTGTGTACCGCTATCAATTGGTGAGAATATGCTAGTACTCCTTCTATATGTTGCTCATGGATTCATTTCGCGATTTGAGGAGAAAACAGCAATCGATCCAAGTCTGAACCAAACAAGCAAACAGAAAAATAAATAAAACCTTAAAGATATGTACAGTAAAGCACAAACAATATTCTGAAAATGTTTTCTAACTATCCCACAATATTTAGCCGATATCTTCTTCATTTGTTGCTGTGGTTGTTGTTGTTGTGTTGATACTATGCTTGCTGCCGAAACACTTCAACACGCCTACTGATACACCGTGTGTACATCCGTGTAATTATATTCTTACGCCATTCCAGATTACAGATTTAAATCCTTATGGATAAGCCCGAAAATATCTATCAACCCCACTTTACATGTGATGATCTTTTACACGATGAGAGCAATTTGCCTGCCTATGACTCCAGATCATGGACTGGTGTACACTGGACCGCCTGGAAACACCTCGGTCAAAATGATTCAATTGAGCACAAATCTACTCAAACAGATCCTTGTATATGGAATGAAGAACAATTAGAAGCGTTGCGCTGTTGTAAAATCGAAATGGCAAAATACATAGGACAGCTTGAATCTCTGTGCGCGGAGCAGAGACAAAGGTGGGCTCCTGTGATGAAGACTTTGTTTATGACTTATTTTTCATATTTGATGACAACAATTACGAGATATGAGATTCGTAAATGCAATTCTAGTATGTGGTAAAAACAAAGAATATTTTTTCCTTATTATTAATATTTTCTGAAAGTCCTCGATTAGACACTACATTCGTTAAGCACCAGCCCTAAGTTTCGCTCTTGTTAGGGCTCATCTGTAGCTCATCCGTTGATCCAACGGCGGACTGGCTATCTCCGAGAACGAACTGTGATCAAAACTGATTTGGTGATCCTGGTTAGCCCCAGTGTGAGCTAAGTGCCACATGATATCCATTCAAGATTTCTCGAGTTCACCTCCTGTACCGGCTGATTAATATGCACTACAAATGGATTGTACTGGAGGCAAAACTCGTGCCTGGTACTTCCTGGGTTGTAGTTCAGTCCCCGGAGTATCCTTGAAAACAGGGAATTTAATGTAGCAAACTATTCTTTAGGATCACAGCTTAGACTAATGAGTTTTTTGAAGGTAGGAAGTTTCTAACACTTTATATAGAAGGAGATTTTATCTCTATGCATGTGGTTTCTAGAACGTCACCTAAAAAGGCTTGGTAACGAACTATTTCAAAATATCTTTAAAGGTAATACACTAATGATACCAAGATTAAGAGAACAAGGATATGCAAACACAAGGTTAGTTTGTTTATCTACTTACTCAGTGCACAACTCCTCTCTGGATTGGTCTCGATAGAGTAGAATGCTTTTCGCACCAATGACCACCTACGGATGTCTACTTTATACGGTGTGGATTTGATCACCACGGTGTAAGAAACAAGTTCACATTTGGTTACCGGCCTTAAAAACCTTCCGTACGGTCTCCACCACGTGTTAACTGCTTTCTCCGCTAATGCGGGATGATTATGGGAAATCGGGAATCTTGCGCCTATGGTGTATTCAGGACTAATGAATAAAAAAGAAATGATTTTTACTGCGGTAAACTTGATCAGGTGTTTCTTGAATAAATAACTTCTATTTAGTGAGCATGTGTTCAATTTCTATGCTCTGCATTACATTCTTAACAAGATGAATTCTTCATACATCCAAGGTGTTCACGCCATGTAGTACAGGGTTATACGTTCCTATTCCCAACCCGAAGGTTCCCTGTTCAAGTAGGTAGAGAAGGATACGAACTGTGTCTCGGTAACAGCTGTCCAGTGTATCATTTTTTCCCGTCGCACACAAAATTTCAATACAATTCACTACTTCCTTTACAAATTTTTATTCTACACAATTCCATGTTTTGGTATTTCTCTCCCCTGCTCTCTGTGCAGAATAGATGACCTTGAACGTCGGTGCATTGCGCACAACGTTGTGATTTCCAAATGGTCTCGGCTGAAACCAATGAAGCATGATAAATTGACAAGTACTGAGGAATTAGAGTTTGAAATGAAACAGAAGCTAGTTGGAAGTCAAGCCGAACGAGACGCTTTGAGAAAGGAACTTAAGGAGTCCGAAAATCAATTGAAACTATGTGAATCAAAAAATCTCAAACTACGAGTAAGTACCAAACAGGCACAACTAGTATAATTGGTCAATTCTTTGCTTATTTAGGAAATTGATTTCAAGGTGGTATATGTTTTTGTATCTTGAATGTGCATGATTTGAAGCAGAATGCTAATAAAAAACGTTTGTTTGACTAACCACGGATTTATCTCCGTCCACTTCTTGTGCAGTATCGCTCAACAAGGCNCAAGGCAATATCATCGCGTATTCTAAGTCCAGAACGATGTTCCCTAAGATGAGTTCGGTTCCAGCTTTTGCTAGACCGGACAGAGCATTCTTTAGTGCATCCTCTATGACAAAGTTAGAAAAGAATGGGGATGTAGGGCAGCCTTGTCGAATTCCATTGGAGACGACAAAGGGTGGCGAAAGCAGGCTATAGGCCCAAACCTAACCTGAGGTAAGATGATACAACTGTTTAAGGATCGATACATTCCTCAACTAACAGTTTCATAGAGCGGTCCTATCGACAGAGTCGAAGGCTGCGCGGATGTCTAAGAAGATAATGATCGTTGGTTTTTGATACGTATGACGGTGCTCTTTGCAGTTGTCGAACGAAGTAATTTCACGGGACAGAAAACAATGATAATCAGGCAAGATAAAGAGTGGGGACTGCAAATCAGTGACAACGTACCGATCACCAACAGTAGGAGTAGCTCTACGACAGATCTGATCCGATGGATGTGCGAGGAGAACTATGGGCCTTGATCCATCTCATTAGTAGAAAACTCGAATGCTCAAAGAATGTTTTCTATGTGCAGAAACAGCAAATAAGTTTAAAAAGCGATCATGGAAGGTGGATGTTTGAAAATACATTTAATCGTGGACGGAATGAATGGAGAGTTGTACTAAGAATAAAGTTGGGGGAATAGTTTAGGGTAAACGGAGAAATATAAGAAATATACCTCTCAGTGTAAACATTACCCTGTCCTACAGGAATTGGGTTAGATAAAGGCAATGAAAGCTCCCAGCTCTAGATTGATGGATAAAACGCTGATAATTTTATCTTTCTTTTCATGCCAGATGGTTTTGAAGGTTACCGAAATGAAAGAAAAAGCCGAAACGTTTTTATTTATCAATTTGAGGTGTGCGATCAAAATAATGGTCGCTCACTGGTCGTTTTCTTTTGAAGAAGGATAGCATGTAGTTTTCCAGAAATCACAGAGTTCATGTTTTATACAACAGTGACGAGAAATGATAGCGATGATTGCTTAGATTATTTAGTCATTCCCCAAAATTGAAAGGAGATGAGCCACGCCAATGACAGAATGTGTTTGTCTTCTCAAACGATTACGGTTTCTGCATATAAGAGAATAAAGCTTGGGTTTCTGAACAGGCTGAAATGAAAATGAAGACCATGTTAAATTGAGTGGGGAGTAGAGTTTATTGGCCAATCAAGGGTAAGTCGAGGAGAAACCTCCATTTGTGGCACTACTGTCAAAATTGTCCAAGGTTGACGGTTTGTTTACCGCAGGGAAGCTGTTCTTGCGGAAGTAGCTTAAGTTAGTTCGAAATCGAAGTTAAAGATCACACAGACGCACAAAAGAACATAGCGGTAGCTGTACTGCGAGTGATATACTAGTCAAGAATAGCGACATTAAATATAATCAGTCGATACAGTTTACGAATTATTCCATTATTCAAAGTAGGTGCTGTATCAAATGAGTATGGGAGCGTGTACTTTGAGAAAAGAGTCAGTTTTGAATACAGTCATTAGGTTAGTGGTATTAAGCTTTGAGTTGTTTCTTGTCAAACGTAACTTGTTTAGGAACGATTTGTCTAAACCATTGGTCCTAAAATGCATGAAAATTTATAATTGTCTTGATATTGTCGTAGTATGTGTGGATGCATCTGGAGTACTTTTCAAATTGATAAACAGACTACTAGTCGGTAGTAGCCGTTTTGATTCCCTATAAATAGCCTCTATTTGTATCAAATAACTTTGTCTATCACCTTTTTCAGTTCGAAGTGGATGAACTGCATAGAACTGTGGCCGATCTTAAGGATAATTTTAGCGAGAAAGAACGGATTCTCATTGCTGTTCTTTCCTGCACTCGAAGACAATTACAAATGAAAGAGATCAGCTACCGCGAAACTTACAAACTGGTGAAACAACTCGGACAACACCTACATCAGTCTTCGCTTTCTGGTTCGAAGATGTTTAGTAATTTCTCAGAGACCGTGAAGCGTCATGATATCAACGACTCATTGTATTTCACCGTTCCTCAGTCAAACTGAAAGCTGATAGAGAAGTCATTTTTTCAATTATGTATATATCCCGATATACTTCTGTAATCAGAAGCGATTTTGCTTGAATATAATTTGCTCATATTGCAGTGCTGTCTTTCTTATTGTTTTGCGCATATTCCCAAGATGTTTAGATGATATTCAGAAAATGCACCAGAGAATAAAATTTACGTGGTAAATTTCTCCCTATACAGAGGAAACGAAGTATAAACTGAAAAGCTAAAATGCACTGGAAAGCTGTTTTTACCTAGTTAGGTCTCATTCGGAGTTTGAATCAAACAATCTAACTGGAAGTCGAACCCAGAACCTAACAAATAGGCCACAAGCATAATACTCCCTTGACCACAGGATCACTGATCAGACCATTTTTATTTTACCTACACACGATATAGCACAACTTACCTTTGCGCGATCAATGTAGGCACCTCATCTCGCACATCTCAGCTCTATACCTCTGGGTTATGGCTCCATGAGGAACATTCCGAGCTCGGCTATATATACGATCACGGCAGTGGAATATTCCAGTTGATTTTATGATAATTCTCTTCGTGTACAGACGATATGGGTGGCATTCTTGCGTTCTACCAGTAAGGTCTGAACTCCAGTAGTTTCGAGGAATTTGCTCCGCTGATGAGAACTAACCAAGTCGAAACAGCTGTTCAACTTATCATAGCTTTAAGTGCTTCATTTTTTCTGTACACAAAGGAATTTGCCATCAAATCAAATCTTCCACTTCTGTCAGATAAACTTTATGTTCGAACTCTTTGGTGGGAAATGGACACCCGAATGGCCAGTCATTTGTCACCGATTCGGGAAAATTTAATAAACACAATTTCGTTTTGAATGCAAACGATATTGAACCCACAAAACTTGCAGAGATTACTTAACAAAGGGTGGTAACTTCCGAAGATAACTCTTTTTGTTTTAATCTCTAGGAGGTAAAAGTTTACGCAACGTTGTACAGCGCATGCATAGTACTATCTTCCACTTCTACCACCAACACTACTACTGCTACGACTAATACTGCTATTACTACTACCATTCTCCCCCGAAGGCCCGAAATCGAAGCAATATAGCAATATTTCAACACGATATTGGAATGTAATCTATTCCAAAATACGTCCTCGTTAAGGGCCTATACTATCGTTAGATTTTCAAGGTGAAAAGACACTGATGAGTATGGTGGGGGAACAGTGGTCAAAAACTTTTAACTNAATGGGACGCAGGGCAAGATGATGTTTCAGTCAATAGGTGGAAGGCGGAAATAGGCTAACAATTGCCACTCTGGATCGAGTCGGAAAACATTTTTTTCCAAACTACGAGAAGGGCTTGCTGATAAGAGAGCAAAAGTTATATTATGAGAAGGGTAGGTATTCATGAACTTGTTATTGTAGCTGCATTGCACTGTTGAATATCTCAAAGAATGTATTCTAGATATTTGTATTCCTGGAAGTGAAAAAAACTTGATACACAAAAAATATCGATTTCACGGGGTCTCACAATATACGATGATCAGCCAGATTCAGCCTGTGTTCACTACGCTAAAGATAAAATACCGCCATTCAGAGAGAAGAATAGACCACATAATGATTCCCACGAGAATAAATTCATATCTCCAGACTCTCGAAATCGCAACAAACAGAGCTTTTGTGAGTCTTTGTACATACCAATCTACGACTGAAATGAATGGATGGTGCAGAGAAATCGGAATGTAGACTTTTGAAATCATGGTTTGGAGGAGGCCGTATTTTAAACGGAGAAATACTGGAATATAATCATTGAAATCCGCACAGAGACCAGGCTACAGGAATGAAAAATAATTATCTAATAAAAGCTTCATAGCTGGAAACCAGAAACTACTATTAATGGTTAGGCAGAAAGCGGAGTAACAAGAAATACAGACGGGACTTGAAGATATATCCAGTAAAAGTGACATGATTCCATTTGGATAAACGTACAGTATCCAACAGAAGTCAATAATTATAAAACCAGATCATACAATTTCCTAATTTTGGAACTTGGAGTGTAAAACCAATCGATAAATCAAGTTTCAGTTTTATAGAATTTGGTTATATGAGTCTGTGCATGAGTGGTTGGTTAAACCGACACAGGCTGTCAGGTGTTTATTGAAATACGTCGGTCTCTTTATGACACTGCAACATTTAAAAACATCAGGAAAAAGGACTTTTACGTTATCCATCTGAAACTGCATTCTACCTCCATAGACTTGACAAAAATTGTTTTCTTCTGCATCCTGTCTCACTGACATTATGCAACCTTGGTGATCTTTCCGGGTCTTTTGATCAAAGAATTGAAACGCATAAATCGATGCACCAAATACTTATATCTACAGTCATATATCTTGAAAAGTTATATTGAAGTATTTAATTTCAGTGCACCTTAAGGACCACCGGTAACTATCTGTCAGATTATTGCCAGACCCATTTCACCACCTATACTCAAATTTTGGCAAAATCATTTCCGAATTTTTAAGTATCAGCACAACAGCTTGCACAACAACATACATGTCTAAGGTAATCCCCTATCTTGCACGGTTTCTCACTATCATTGACCACCGATCATTGAAGGTATTCGTGTCAAAATTAGTTTACTTTCCTGAACCGTTTATCTATGCAGTATTTAATGATTCTTTTTGTCTGTACGGTTGCTTTTTTACTTCAAAGAGTGATTATGCAGCATCTGAATACCCAACTCTGTGGGGGCAAATTAAGACAGTTTTTTGACTTGACGTGACACATACTGGATTTGTTGAGAATGGCTTAGTTTGTTGCAACTTGTGACCGCTTTAGACCCAGGTGGCCGAGTTGTATTAATAGGATAATTTGTTTTGAGTAGAGTCTTACGTGAATCAACGGGACTATGAAGAGATCAGAACAACCACGAAAAACTACAGTGATTCTGAGTTTCGAAGGAATAAATATGAGGTAAATGTTAATCATGACATTGTTGATGGAATAGCAAATCAGTGATGATTGGTTATCTAATGAATGGGTGTTACGAATGTGTTATCGGTTCAAAGGCAAGTTTAAATTATATATATATATATATATATATGTATATATATATATATACGAGGTCTGGTTCAAAATTGTCAGCACTGTTCAAATAGAGCTGTAACATTAATGGTATACTCAAACTAACATTAGGCTGTAAAATATATGACTCAGTTGTGCAATAGACATTTATCCTTTATGGTAGATACACGGAAAATAAAAGCTGACTAACATCTGTTTTCAAAACATCCACAGTGGGAATCTTTCTGATAGTGAATTGCCAAAATAAAAGCCGATGACAGCCAACCTCGAAGGTAGTCGTTATCGTTCATTCATGTGCAGAGATAAAATATCCATACACTGCAGTGTTCAGTTCAAATTGCAAACATTGTGCTAGATTGTGAATTGATCAAGAGCGTATCTTGGTGTATCCTCACTAGTCGTTTACGGATAGAACAGCAACAATCCTTACTCATATTTTGCTTTTTTACTTTTTTCTCATGAAAGCTTATCGATAAAAGTGACTAGATTGTTCGCTTTTATCCGATAGACAGGGTTTAAAAAGTAACTCAAGTCATATCAGTTCAGTTCTTTGTGGTCAAATCATCAGCGGGAAGAGATAGACTTCCAATGATCCAAATAAAATAATTCAAAAATCTGCCTGAAATTTAATAGTTAGTGAACAACTTCTGATTGTTTTATTTGCGGAGTTATACCATAGCCACGACTAACAGTATTTTTGATACAACTATAGTTAAATAACTGAGTTTGCTACGATATTTTCAACCACAAGGCTTTGCTAAAACTCATTATGATATACCTTCAAAACATAGTGCCCGTGATAGAAAAATCAGACTAAGAAGCACATTGAAGAATAAAGAATGAATGTATTCTGACGGTAAATTACAGCTCATCAATCCATAAACTCACAAAGGTCCAAAGGAATACTTGGTTTTTGGAATGGACATGAGTCAAAGTGTAGAATAAGTCAAGTTCATAAAACAGAAGATCAAGAGTGTTACTGGTGTTTGTGCGTTTTTCTTTTTTATTCCAATGAATCAGATTAGATCATTTGGATGCGCGTAGCGGCAACTTCTCAGAACCGCATGGTGCCCCATGTGGGTGAGCTCGCAAGTCAATGCGTTGTTGAAGTAATTTGATTCGGGAACCAAGAAATCCGGATTGAAGGAGACCTGAAGTG